TATGCTAGTGGCTAAAGTCCTTGCCATATATGTGCTAGGATTTCATATGGGCACCAGTTCTAATCCTGGCAGTCCCACTTACCATCCATCTCTCTGCTTATGACCTGGGAAAGCAGTTGAGATCAGCCCAAAGCCTTGGGACCCTGCACTCACATGAGAGACTTGGAAGAGATTCCAGTCTCCTGGCTTCAGACTGGCTCAGTTCCTGCCATTGTAGCCACTTGGGGAGTAAATCAACAGATGGAAGATCGTCCTCTCTGTCTCTTCTCCTCTCTTTGTATATTTGATTTTCCAATAAAAATTAAAATAAATATATATTTTTAAAAACGAAACATTTACATTGTCTCGGAAATCTCCACCTAAGCATGCTTTGAGGATTTTCTCTTTGTGCATTGAATCCAAACAACTATCAGTCCTTCAGTAAAGTTTTGCTTATCTGGAATTTCATATAAATGAAACACTACAGTGTGTGGCCATGTTTATTCAACTTTTTAAACCTCTTATCACCATCATCAGGTTTTTCGGGTTTATTCATGTTATTCTTTGTACTAACAGCTTGTTTCTTATATTGTGAAGAGTATTCCATTGTCTGCTGTGCCACAAGCAGCTTATTCACCTAATAAATAAACACTTGGACCCAATAGCTGTTTGGGCTGTTAGGAATGAAGTTTCTATGAAGATATATGTAAAATCTTCCTGAGGACGTATGTGTTCATTAATCTTGGATAATCAAGAGTGGAACTGGTAGGTTGTTTTTTTTTTTTTTAAAGATTTATTTTTATTATTTTTTATTGGAAAGGCAGACATACAGAGAGGAGAGACAGAGAGGAAGATCTTCCGTCCGATGATTCACTCCCCAAGTGAGCGCAACGGCCGATGCTATGCCGATCCGAAGCCAGGAGCCTCTTCCGGGTCTCCCACGCGGGTGCAGGTTCCCAAAGCCTTGGGCCGTCCTCGACTGCTTTCCCCGGCCACAGGCAGGGAGCTGGAAGGGAAGTGGGGCTGCCGGGATTAGAACCGGCACCCATATGGGATCCCGGGCGCGCAAGGCGAGGACCCCAACCACTGCGCCACCGCGCCGGGCCCTGGAACTGGTAGGTTGTATGTTTAACTTCATGAGCAACTGTCCAGTTGTTTCCCACATGGCATTACCATTTTGTTTTCCCACAACTATGTATGAGAGTTTCAGGGACCTATTATCCTCATCAGAGCTGTCATTGTCTTTTAAATTTTAGCCATGTATGCTTCTGTAGATATTATTTTCTATCATGATCATGGGAAAATTCAGAATGGAGGGGTTTGGTGGGAGCAAAATGGTTAGGTTGAATCATTGCTGTTACCTTGGAAACTCTTCATCTCAGTCCATCTACCAGGCTAACTGTTGGTCATAGGACCAGCTGAATTTTCTTTATCCCTTCCAGTGAGTGTGTCTGACAGGTTTCCTTTAGATCACACACACACTATTCCAAGCACCTTCATCCTCCTACCATGTTACCTTTCTACGTGGATGTGGCTGTGGTTTGTTCATCTAAAGAGGACCTGTTCTGCTGTGGGATTTAATATTTGCATCTTCCCTGTGCTCGCTCTTTTTCAGAATTCTCAATGGAAAACATAGAATTCTTTTATTTCACATATTTTTTTGTGATGTTAACACCTTAATGTCTTTTCACATCCTCATCTTAATTAGCATTTTTTAACTCCTTCAAAGTTTGGTTTCAGAATTTCTTCTTGTCTCACTGACCGAGTTAAGACAATTAAGGAGTAAATGACAATTCTTTACAGTGAACAGGAGTGGAAAAATTATTATTTATGAATGTTGCCACTTACAAAATTGAATTCTTCTTGGTAGGAAGCAAAGAAGAATCAACATAAAGCAGGCAACTCTTGATCTCTGTTGTAACCTATTCTTCTTGCATCACAGCACTACTGTTGTAATTTGTGATGATTTCAGTAACTCTGTGGAGGAGATATTTGAATCCTGTAGCATTGCAGCTGACTTCATGTGATCTTCTTTTTTTTTAGTTTCACCAATTTTATTGTCATAAAAGCATATGAAGTTATAATTATGCTATGTGATGTACTTTCATTCTGACATTATTATCATACCACAATGATAACTGCAATTGTGATTTTACAAATCTTCCATTTTGCCATCAAAATCAATGTGATGTCACAACCCAACCATTGTGCCAGAATATTTTGTTTAATTTTGTTGGCACAAATCATTGTGTTCTCATAAAAACATTTTTGTCATAAACAATTGGATTGTTATAAACCACCTTTCTGATGTTATAAGCCTACAATTGTGATATCACACTCAAATACAATATCATACAATCCATTGTAAATTCACCTATAGAAATGATGTGATGATCACTCACAATTATACTGTTTTAAAAATGTGCTGACATAATGAATTGGCTTGTGACAAGTCAGACTTCTGGCATCATAAACCCGGAATTCTGATGTCACAATCAATTATAGAACTGTATGATCAATTGTGATGGCCTAAAACCTTCCATTGAGGAAACAATAAAGTGTGATGCCATAAACCAGAGATTGTTCTGTCAGAGTTGGAATGTTAGCAACTGTGATGCTATGAACCTACGTTTATGATGTAGGCATTTAAGGGTTGGCATTGTAGGGCAGCATGTAAAGCCACCATCTGAAACACTGGCATTTCATATGAACAACAAGTCAAGTCCTGACTGCCCCATTTCTAATACAGATCCCTGATAATTGCTTGAGAAAGTGGCAGAAGTTGGCCCAAGTGGTTGGGTCACTCATGTGGGAGACAAAGAAGAAACTCATAGTTCCTGGCTTTGGTCTGGTACAGCTCTGGTCAATACTATTTGGGGAGTGAATCAAAGGATGGAAGGATCTCTCTATCTCCCACTCTCTGACCTATGTGAAAATAAATAAATCTTCTTAAAGAGGTAATAAATCGTTGCATTTTTGCAAACCAATCATTGTTCAGCTGCAATCAATTTTCATGTCAGAAACTATCACTGTATTGTCATAGATCATTGTGAGTAATAACTGGCGTGTGATCAACCACCATTTTGGCATCAAAGAATACTACTGTAATGTAATAATAAAATTTGATGTCATAAAGCTACAATTTTCTCATCACAATCAATTGTGAGGTCATAAACCAACCATTGTGCTGCCATTGAAATTTTCATTGTCAGAAACAAGCAGTTTACTGTCATAAAATTTGTGATGTCATATGAATTGGTTTGTGATAAATCTACACTATATCATAAACCAACACTAGTAATGTCATAATCAGTTGTGATGTCACAAAGCTTTCCTTGTGCCATCATAAAAAACTGTGAAATCATAGCCCAAATATTGTACCATCATAGCCAATTTTAATGTGATAAAATAACCATTGATATAAAAAACTTATCATTATCAACTGTGATGTCATAAATCAATAATTATGCCATAATCAAATTTTATATCATAAAGCAACTACTGTGTCATCATATTCAGTTTTGAAGTCATTAACCAAACATTGCATCATCGATTTTTTTCTTTTTAAAATTTTTTAATGTTTTTTTATGTTTTTATTAGTTCCATAGGCCTGGGATTTCCTCTCCTGCCCTCATCAATTCCCCTTCCCCCACTGATTTCCTCTTTATTATTACAATACTGTAGTCCTTCATAAGCAGTCGTAAGTTCATCATTCTGCTATTAGTGTATTCTGACATTGCAGGTATGGACATTGGCAGAATCCAACATCCTATTGTCAAGATATATTTAACAGTTTCATTGGGAGTTCATCTTTGATTTGGAAGTAGACACGTATACTATATTGTATCTTCACATCTCGCTATGATAGCCTCTATTATACAGTTCCTGTGATCTTAACTTCTATTTCATCTCTCACTGAATTCTAAGGTGACATTTTATAGTCCTTGTCATTAGCAATAATAGTCCATAATTTGAATTTCAGACACCCTGGTTTCTAGCCACTGCTTCCTATTCTTTCCACTCAGTTCTTACTGAAGTTAAAAAAAAAAAAGCCTTGGATTTCACAGAGACCGGCAATCCATTGATTACACTGCCATTTTATTGTCCCAAATCTTCATATTCTTTCTTACGTAGCTTCAATGCCATGGTCCACTGTTATCACCACATCTTCCTTGTTCTACTTTATGCATCTTACCTGGTGAAACTGAAGACCTGCTCAGATCAGTCTCCATCTTCTCTGTTACACCTGGGTGTGATCAAGAACATCTCACATGCAGTGTGCTGCTGCACTAGTTGTGTCTGTGACTTGTAACTTTTTGCCATTCATTTTCCCACTGTTCTGGCAGATTATTTCCATTTTAAACTTCTCTTCCCATTTATGACAAACGTTTATTTATTATTATGTTTAAAATGTAATAATCAGGGAATGTAGTCCTTGTAGAGAACTACTAGCCCCACGCAAACGCCTAACATTTATTTTTTATAGATCAGTCCTTTGCCTTACAAATCAGTGTTCTATGACAAGAGATTTATTCACTGTGTCATTTTAATCTGGAACTACTTTTCCCTCAAAGTTTTTGTTTGCCTATTAGAGAGAGGCTGTAAGTTGTGAAAGACTTTTGATCTTGACAAGTAATTTCACAGTCATAGGTTAATTCAAGTTCATGTTCCTAACAGGAAGATATATTCTTAAGATATACACACAATGAGCCACCAAAAACCGCTAAAAGCCTGGAATCTTGATTTTCTGCAACCGAGGAAAATGAAAGAAGAGACAGAGCTGGGTATATGTAATGAATAGCTTACTCTCCAGAATGTCCTTTCATTCTATATTCCTATTTGGGAGAATTTGATAGTATTGTATTTAAAGCAGAGTTTCCTAGATCCTGGATGACTAAGAGGATATACATTATATAAAAGTTAAAATACTTTCAAAATAGTTAAGTATAGGAAAAAAAGGCCTAGGTGCGTATGGATTCTGAAATGAAAATAGCTTTCTCTTCTGTTACTCTTTTTGAAAGGTCGGGGATGACATGAATTTGTTCTTGCAACGTTGTTCACAGTTGGCAACTCAACTCGAAGATGCAGTTAGGGAAGAACACAATGTATGTATTTTATGTAAACTTTCAGGGAGGAAATATTAAAGCACGTTATTATTGGCTAAAATCTGAATGTGATTTTAATCCAGGAGCTAGGAGCTTCTTCCAGATGGCCCACATGGGTGCAGGGGTCCAGGAACTTGAGGCACATAAGCAGGGAGCTGAGTCAAAAGTGGAGTATTTGAGATAGGACCAGACAACACCATGGAATGTCAATGCCCCAGATAGAGGCTTAACTTATTAGGCCTCAGTGCTGGTCCCAGAACTCTGCATTTCTTGATGCTGAGGTTTCTAATGAATAAAGTAGACAGCATGCAGAAAGAATTGAGCAATGTAAGCAGATGAGATTTCTAAGAAAGAACCAAAAAGAAATTATAGAAGTACAAAAATGACAAACACACAGAAAGCTGAGAACATGGAGCTGGATAATGCTAAAGCGAACCCTACGCTGGCGCCTGCTGTTTATAAACTACAGAAGGCAGCAGGTGAGGTCATGGAGAGGGCGTTGTTCTCCTACGTCAGAGTGATTTTCTGTAACCCTACAACTCTAGTGCCAAGAGTGGTGGAATTGACATGGTGGCATTTCCCTTCAGGTTCCAAGGCAGGAAGGTTTTGAGAACCTTGGACTCTCATTTCCTGGTGGAAAAAGTGACTTTCATATAATGTCATTAAACCATCACATAGCTGGCCCAGGCATGAGTTTCAATTTGACCTGGTTTATTTTCTAGGGAGTCTTTGCCCTTTTTTTGTTTCCATCTAGGTTTTCTGGTTATTACACGTAGCAATTCTCAAACTTCAGCATGCAAAGCAGTGAGCTGAAGATTGGTGGCCCACTGGGTCCACTCCTGAACTTTCCATAGGCTGAGATGAATCACAAGAATGGCCCAAGCAAGCTGCTATGCTTGCTGGTGGAGTTGATCCTGTTAGTTGTGGCACTGTACTCTGAACCACCAATCTGGAGTCAGTATTGCAGAAGGGAATGTTAAAGACCTGTTCAGTATTTGTTCCATTCTAATTCCCCTTTCCACTGGAATGTTATGCAATAGTATTTCTCTTTAATAAGGCAATTCAAAACTTTTAACCAAGTATAAGAGGATAATTGGCTTTTTGTGTATGTGGCAAATGTAACTATCTTAACATTGAATTTTAAGGAGTAAATGTTGATATTTTGGATTGTATAATGGGGTTGCATACTCAGTTTTGCTCACAATCTCCCAAATCAGTTATTTGCATTTTCTATTAAATATATCAAGCAGCCATGCAATTTCTTATATCTTGATTTTTACAGGTTCTTTAGGAAACAAAAATTTATACTAGGAAAAGTAGTGCTTTTCTTTATCACATTTGCCGCTATATGAAAAGAAAGATAGTATTCTTCTCAGAGGAAATTATGTCTTATGCCTTTCCTATATTAAGAAAACGTGAAATGATTTACATCAGTTATTTTGGGGCCTCCTAATTTAAATCTGTATAAATGAAAAATTATTTTTTGAATATTTATTTATTCTTATTTGAAAGGCAGATTTTTACAGAAAGAGAAAAGGATAGATAGATAAAAAGAGATTTTCCATCACCTGGCTCACTTCCCAAATGGCCACAACAGCCAGAGCTGAGCTGATCCAAAGCTGGCAGCCAGGAGCTCCTCCTTGGCCTCCTTCATGGATACAAGGGCCCAAAGACTTGAGCCACCCTCTGCTGCCCTCCTATTCTATACGCAGAGAGCTGCATTGGAAGTGAACAGCCAGGACATGAGCCAGTGCCTGTATGGAATGCCGGTGCTTACAGGTGAAGGATTAGTCTATGCCACCATGTCAGCCTGGAAAAATTACTTTTTATCCTAGATGTAAGTTGCCTAGAAAAGATAGGTTAAAACAACAACAACAACAACAAACACCATCTTGGATTTGCCTAGTGGCGAAAGTCCTCACCCTGAACACATGGGGATCCCATATGGGTGCTACTTTGTGTCGTAGCGGTCCTGCTTCCCATCCAGCTCCATGCTTGTAGCTTGGGAAAGCAGTGGAGCACGGCCCAAAGCCTTGAGACACTGCACCCACATGGGAACCAGGAAGAGGCTCCTGGCTTCTGGCTTCTGATTGGCTCAGCTCCAGCCATTGTGGCCACTTGGGGAGTGAATGAACGAATGGAAGCACTTTCTATCTCTCTGTAAAACTGACTTTCCAATAAAATAAATAAATCTTTTTTTTTAAAATAACACCATCTTTAAATATGCAAATATTATGACTTTGAATTATATATTTATAAAGTTGTGTTTCAACAATTAAAACTTTTTGTTGTTACAAATTTTATAAGACCTAAACCAAATATTTACAATAAACTGTGATGACTTCACTTTTAAATGTATTAATTAAAACCTAATTTTTCAGGTTTTGGACACTGTTTTTAAGGTATGTATTCCAGCCTTCCAGCCTGAGACATACATGTAAGTGAAGAAATGATTTCTAAAGTTTTATTAAAGTAATTACATAAGAGACAGAGAGTGGGAGAGAACACTCCCAAGCAGTGGTTCACACCGAAAATATCTGCAATAATTGGGGCTGGGCTGAGATGAAGCTGAGAGCTGGGAACTCAACCCTGACTCACCGTGGGAGTGACAGGAACTGTTACTAAAGCTAGCATGCCTGCATTAGGAGGAAGCTAGAGTCAGGAGCCAGACCCGGGAATTGAACTCAACTTATACAAAACACCCAACTAAGCAACTTCCAACTTATTACTATATACAAAATAAAAGTTTCAGTTCAGCTTTATTCTCCATAAGCCCACTCTGAACTCTTAAGTGGTATTTGGATCAGGACGGAAAGAAAAGTGACCATCACAGATACACATATTTGTGCCCATTTATTTCACTGCTGAAGTAAGCATGTAACCAACTAGTAATATTTTTCTGGTTTTTTTTTTTTTAAGTGGTTTCAGCAACAGGTCAATCAGATGGAGGAGGTAAGTCTAATGCTTCTTAATTGTTAATGTTTGATCTTTGGAAGCCAATTTTAAATAATTATTGGATGTAATCTTTTGATGATGGGAAAAAATGAGCAAGTGGTTAAAACATGTCTCAGTGGTTTACACGGCACATTCCTGTATGTATTTGATATGCTCTAAGTTTTACCAACATATTCTTCCTCCTAAAGCTGAATAATGGAAATGATATTAGTTTTGTTTCCTAATTTACATAAATAAGTGACAAGAGAGAATTTATCCATTTAAAAATTTCTCTTGTGTTATATACGGACATAAAATCACATATTGATTTTTCTCTGAATTTAATCTGCTGCTTTATTTATTTTCTTTTTTATTGTATTTTTTCATGATACATTTCCTTAGGGTCAAGGATTTCTTCTTCCACTCTCCACCCCTTCCCACTGTTTCCTCTTATATTATTACAATAGTATATAATCCTTTAACAACAGTCACAAGTCCATCATTCTATTTAAGAAAATCCAGCATCCTACTGTCAATATGTGTTTAACAGATCCTTTTATTCAGAAGTAGAAACTCATACTATCATATATCTTCACTTCCCAGTATACTTGTATCCATTATATAGTTCTCTAGATAAATATATGTATACACATTTATTTATTTATCTATTGATCTTATATTTTGCATAAAGATTGCCTTATGTCAGAACATATGGTATTTTTCCTTTTGGGATTGGTTTATTTGACTGAGCATAATGGTCTCTAGTTGGGATCATTTTATGGTAAATGTTAGAATTTATTATTTTTAATGGCTGAGTAATATTCCAGTGTGGATGTATCAGGGTTTCTTTATCCATTCCCCTTTTGTCAGTATTCTGTTGTTTCCATGTCTTTGCTATTGTAGAGTGTGCTGCTATAAAACACAGATTTATTTGTTTAGTTGTTTATTCAAAATGCAAAGTGACACCAAGATAGGCAAAGATAGAAATAAGCAGAGATACAAAGAGCTTGTATCTGCTGCACTCAGGCTGGGCTAGTCAGAATCCGGAACCTGGAAGTCCATCTGATGCGCCCATGTAGGTAGAAGGGACTCAAACACTCGGGCCAATCTCTTACCTTCCCAGGAGCACTAGCAGAGAGCTGACTTGGAAGTGAAGCATCCAGGACTCCAACCAGCACTCAAATGGGATGCCAGTGTGGCAGGTGGAGACTTAACCCCCTTGTCACAATCCCAGCCCCTTGTATTCTTTTTGCCCCCCATCCTGTCAATGCACTTGGCCTATCAAACTCTGGCCTCTCAGCCTCTGAACTTCCTCAGTTTTGAATATCTTGGCTTCCACTTCTAGTCATGCTCTGAACTTTTTCTTAATCAAATTGCTTTCTTTTATTTTTATTTTTTAAAATTGTGTTTGTTTGAAAGGTAGTGATAGAGACACCTTCCGTCTGTTATTTCACACCTGAAATAAGCACAGCAAATAGGTCTGGGCCGGGCTGAAGGCAGTAGCCTGGTCTCTCCATGAGTGGCAGGGGCCCAAGAACTTGGGCATCTTCTGTTGCTTTCCAGGGCATATTAACAGGGAGCTGGTTCAGAAGTAAAGCAGCCAGGACTTGAACCACTTATAGGAACAAAGGAAAGAATAAGAATAGAGATATATTCCAGCAGCGAGTTTACTTCCCAGGTGCCCATAATAGCCAAGCCTGCGTCAGGCTGAATCCTGAAAGCAGGAACTCCATCCAGGACTCTCATGGGAATGGCAGAAATCCAAGGACCTGAGGTATTGTCTGCTCCCTCGTAGCATGCACACTAGTAGGAATCTGCGAGGCAAAGTGGAGCTGAGGCTGCATCCCAGACACTTCAGTGAGGGGTGCCAAACCAAGGGACAGCTGAGCTTGTTGTGCCACAATGCCCAGCCCGTTACTTTTTAGATTGGATTAATGAATGTCAGGCTGCTTTTTTCATGCATACTGAGACATATCTGCACTTCTGGGAGTTGAGACTAGTCGCCTTTGACAGAAAAATACTGTTTTCTCACAATGTAGCATCATAAGGGGATTCTTAGAAAGCAATTATTTTAAAATAATTGTTATGAGGGGTTTTAGTTGTCTTTAATATTATTTAACTTGCTCACAACAGAGGATTAGATTTCTGTTTGGACATGTAAATGTCATCAGCGAATTGTAATTCTTTCATGAATTGCTCTTTGTCAAGAATATCAGTAATGCCCATGGTCACAGACTAAGAATAATGTTATGAAAATTATCTAGATTTGATGAAGGAAATGATATGTTTGAAGTATGGGAGCAACTCTTTGGTACCAGTTAATTCTATCATTCCAGATAAGTAAAGATCAAACTCCTCTGGAAGAACTCTTAGCACCTGATCCAACAGTCAGTTCAAACATTACACAAACATTAAGGCACGAGCAGAAATTGGAAGAATTGAGAAATCGTCTTCAACAGGTTTCTGAATTTCTGTGAGTGAACTCATAGATGTGAATCAATTGAATTTTTAAAAAATGGGAGGAGGTACATCATTACCATTGGATGTAAAATAATACATTAATGTCTACATCAAATCAGGACTAATCAGCTTGAAGCTTTTAATAAACTGAGATGACACTGTACACTAGAGTAGACACCAATCACATGTGATTGTTGAAATAGTGTGCTAGGTATTTTTCTAGTAGCTACTTTGTGGGAACAGTATCCTTATATTCCAGTTTTAATAGGTGAAGATTCTGAAGCTCAGAGAAATTAAGTATATATATATATATATACTTATATATATATATAAGTTTCCTCCAAACTCATACATTTAATCACTGATACTTATTGATAATAAGAAAGTGTTTCTATATAATTTATTTTTGTTGATGTGGGTTGTGTATTTAATCATATTCTCAATATAGAATTCATATGATTACACTGTATGATTTTTATACCTATGTGTTCAGTATGAGTTAATTTACCTTGCTATCAGAATAAAAGTGAAAGAATAATTTTATGCTATAAATTTCACACGTGTAGTCTCCTACATTTCAGTTCTTCCTTAAGTGTAACTTAAGCCATTATTTTTTACTAAAGTGTGGTTTATTTACCAAACATTTTGCAGGGATACAGAAAATCCATCCACTACCAGTCCAGAATCACCAACATCAGTGAGAAGTTATGAATCTATAGAGCAGCAGATTCAGGGTAATAATAGTTTATACATTTAGTCTTAGTTAGGTTTCCTGAATGTATCTGGTGGGAATAGCTCCTTCCCCTTCTAGCCCCACTTTCCCCAGATACAGGAAGAAAAAAGGAGATTGGAAGCAATTGTCTCATCCATTTCCTCTCCTTGCTTGACCCTCCCCACCCTAATTGGTGGCCCACAAGGGCATGCATCCTTCTCAATTATGTATACATCATCAAAAATAAAATAAAATTGGGCCCAGGGCAATGGCCTGGTGGCTAAATCCTCACTTTGCACTCACCAAGTTCTGATTGCAGTAGCCTCTGAAAGCACTGAACTTTATTTCCTCAACTCAATAGGTTGTGTTTGAGCAATGTGGCCTAGAAATTCCGGACAGTTAGCTGGGGTGATCATAGTCATCCTAGGACCATTTTTCCTTTGTTTTCCCTCTGTGTTGTGATCATTGTTTTCTAATTTCTGAATACTGCTATTTCATATGATTTTTGTCTCGTAATTAAGGTTGAAGTGTAAACCTGATTCCTGGTGAAATATCAGTGCCCAAACAGAGATCAAAATCTCCCAGCCACAAAATCAAGTTTCAACAGGATCAAATACAAGAGAATTTTTTCCCCAGCATTTATTTATTTGAAAGACAGATTTACAGAAGGAAGAAGAAGAAGGAGAGAGAAAAAGAGAGAGAGAATCTTCCATCTCCTGGTTTACTCTCCAAATGGCCAAACAACAAGGCTGAGTCAGCCTGAAGCAGGAGCCAGGAGCTTCATCTGGGTCTCATCTGGGTGTAGGGATTCAACTACTTGCACCATCTTCCACTGCCTTCTATCAGCAGGGATCTGAAAGCAAGTGGAGCAACCAGGACTTGAACCTAGCCCACCTGGGACGCCCATGTTGCAGGCAGCGGCTTAGCCATTGCACCATGATGTCAGCCTCCACAGTAGAAATTTTACGTATGATTCTTAAGGGAAGCAGAGAAGACAATTCTTTTACAATCGCTAAGTATCTTTTCCTAACATTTTGTTTTTCTTGAATGAGTTGTCAAGAAAGAAAAGGTTTATTTCATCTTGTAGTTTGAGGTGGCAGAATGAGGCAGATCTGCAGTCTGGCATGAGGTGGGGGTGGCTTATGACAGGTGAAGCAGCAGTCATTACATTGTGAGCCCAGAAGGAGAAAGAAAGAACACTGAGGCTGAATTTGGACTAAAATAGTCAAACCTCCCCTCAAGGACATGTGCCCAAAGACTCAAAGACCATCCACTAGCTCTGTGTCTCAGGTGCTAGCGTTAGATCAAGTTGATGTATCAACTTCAGTCAGTCAGCTTGGAACATTATGACTTCATTGTTTAAAATGCTGTATGAGTTCTGGGGAGACAAATCTTGCTGTGCCCATAACAGTATCACATGATTCTATGGACTGAATTGGCAAGAACTGGTACTTGAAAAGCATTGCTCCATTGTATTCACATGGAATGTCTTTCCATTTATTTAGATATCATTTGATTTTCTTAACCAGAATGTTATGTTTTTTCTCCAAATAAAGCCAATAAATATTTTGTTTCAGTTACAGCTAAGTGTTGAAAACTCTGATTTTATTGCAAATGGCATTGATTTTCTCATTTTGGTTCAACTCATTTGTTTCTAGTATGTAAAAAAGAAATTGCAGTTGAATCTTATGTCCCAGAGACTTGCAATTGTTTATAACTTCCAGGAGATTTTTTTAAAAAAGATTTATTTATTTGAAAGGCAGAGAAAGAAAAAGGGCAAAAATTGCATTCACTGGTTTACTTTCCAAATGGCTGCAACAGCTGGGGGCTGGACCAGGCTGAAGAGAGAGTCTCTCACATGGGTGTTGGATGTCCAAGCACTGTTAATGTTATTAATTGTGATGTCCCTTCACTTCTTTTCTGATGGTAGATATTTGAGCTGTCTCTCTCTCTCTCCCCCTCTCTCTCTCGTTCTAGTTAGTTTGGATATTGTTTTGTCAAATCTAAATTTTTTTAAAAAACACTTGAAGTTCGGACCCGGCGCGGTGGCGCAAGTGGTTAAGTCCTCGCCTAGCACGCCCCGGGATCCCATATGGGTGCCGGTTCTAATCCCGGCAGCCCCGCTTCCCTTCCAGCTCCCTGCCTGTGGCCTGGGAAAGCAGTCGAGGATGGCCCAAAGCTTTGGGAACCTGCACCCGTGTGGGAGACCAGGAAGAGGCTCCTGGCTTCAGATCGGCATAGTATCGGCCGTTGCGCTCACTTGGGGAGTGAATCATCGGACGGAAGATCTTCCTCTCTGTCTCTCCTACAATGCCATCACTACCACCTTCCCTGTATTTTTTGCCAATTCATAGTGTGAATCAAGTTATATAATCTCTGGGCTTAAATTTCTTGATTTGAAAATGGTGGCAGTATCTTCTTTGTTGGGTTATCTTAAGGATTAAGAGAATGAGAATCACGATGATGATTTGCACATACACCGTTTAACACGTTGATATCTATTTTCATCTTGAGGACTTTGTTCTTTAGTACTCATGGGATGCTGCCATCTCTTCTTTATGCTTGTGTAATTTTTGCATCCATAACAGTGTAAGTATAAGGTATGATTTCCATCACTTTATAATATCTTTATTATAATTTCCTATTTTATTTTTTAAATAATAGATGCTGCTAATTTAGAGACTCATCGGCTGGAGATGATGTTGAAAATGCTTGAAAAGCAGTCACATATGTTGGGGAAGTAAGCTTGATAAATGCATTTTTCTACTTATGAAAATGAATACACATTAGTTATAGCAATATTAGAAAGATAAGAATTTAAGATTTCTGTCAAAAATTAGAGTTCTTAAATCAATTTTATAAATAGTTTAAAAATTTTAAAGATAAATAGAATATAAAATTTCTGCTATAGAGAAACTGTTCCTCGAAAAAGTAAAAACAGAATTGCCAAATGATCCAACAACTCTACTTCTGCATATGAACCACATACTTGCACTCCAATTCATTGAGATGTATACAATAAATATGGTGAACTTCTAATACGTTAACCACACATCAATATGGTGGTTTTACTCATTTGTCACCACAGACCTAATCTCTCCATTAACCTGTACCTTGTAGTATCCAGAGAGGGTAATCATACTGGTTTTCAGAGGAGCCATTAGACTTGTCTTCAAGGTCTTGTCATACATTCTCCTGCTGTTGATTTATGGGCAGCAAAAGTGGACAAAAAAGTACAGGCTGAAAAGTTCTTTTGTTACTTATGGACTCAATTTCAATCCCTATTAGAGACTGCATTGGAGAGTGACCTATGAATGCGTAATTTACATCTAGAATCCAGTCCTGAAGTTCCCCATCATCACAGTCATGTAATCCTGATGAGAAAGCTGGTCTACAAAGAATTCTTCCATGACAATTTTTTTCTTGGGGGTGGGAGCAGAAAAGAGTGAAACATAGAGTCAGAAATCAGGGTAGGAGGCTGCCTAGACTTTCCAATATTCAGGTAATCTATCAGTATTAAAATTTCAATGCTCAGTTATGACACTGGCAAGACCAAGACATCCACCTGGTTAAAAATCAATGACAAGTTCAGAATTTTAAAAACCAAGTATTGAGTACAGATGCAAATGTTAAGAAAATTGTAGTATAGGGAAGGAATTCAATGCTATTAAAAGTGCAAACTTGTTTAAACTGAAGCAAAGTCAGATGATAAGCAATTGACTAAGATAAAATATTTGTGCATATGCAATAGAAAAGGATGATAATAATGTAACTTCATTAAAAAGCAAAATTACTAGAAAAGCAGGCAAAGCACATAAAGAGAGAATCCATGGCACATAAAATGGTCAGTAAGTGGTTTAATAGATGCCCAATCTTACATGTGGTCAGAGAAATGCAAAGCAAAATGAGGACAGTACTGCTATTTGCCAGTATAACACAAATGATATGTGATCAAGGTCTGACAGGAAGGTGGTATGATGGATTCTCTTACAATGCTAGTACAATAGAGAAATTTTCCCCTTTAAAGGATAATTCATTTGTTTGTATTAATTGCATTGCATTATGTGACACAGTGTTATAAGCACTGGGATTCCCCCACCCCTCCCTGAACCCTCTCCCCATGGTGGATTTCTCCACCTTGCTGCGTTACCACCGTTCAAATTCAGTTGAGGTTCTTTCATTGGAAGTATTTACCAAGCATAAAGTTCAGTGTCTTATTATCCTAGTGAGTTCAACGATTTCTTGACCTCTGGTCCGAAGGTAAAGCCAGCAAATTATCATCCCAATCGATTAAAAGCCCGAACAGCTATTTACAACCTTATGGCATTAATTGACATGGTATTGATTAATAATATGTTGATAGGAAAATGCGGTTTCTTTACTACATCCTGTGACTTCTTTATAGACATTTCAATTTTTGGTTTACAGTTTACTTAACTGTATATATGTTACATAGTGCAATAAATGCCCCTTTATTTACTCCAGGGACAGAAATACACAAAAGCTCAAGGAAACATAGAAAAGGAAAATTATTATATCATCACAATAGTAGCAGAACTAGAATCTCTTTTTTTTCTGGTGAGCAGTATGATTCAATAATCTGTGAATTATTATATGTTTAAAGAAAAATCCATATGAAGGACTCGAAAAAGTTCATGGAAAATTGTAATTAAAAGATGTCTATTGTCCATGAATCTTTTGAAGTAACCTTTATAGATTTTTTTAAAGAGTTATTATTATTTTTAAAGATTTATTTATTTTTATTGGAAAGGCAGATATACAGAGAGGAGGAGAGACAGAAAGGATCTTCCATCCGATGCTTCACTCCCCAAGTGGCCACAATGGCTAGAGCTGAGCTGATAGGAAACCAGGAGCCAGGAGCTTCCTAAAGGTCTCTCATGCGGGTGCAGGGTCCCAAAGCTTTGGACTATCCTTGACTGCTTTCCCAAGCCACAAGCAGGGAGCTGGATGGGAAGCAGGGCCACCGGGAATAGAACCAGCGGCCATATGGGATCCTGGCACATTCAAGGTGAGGACTTTAACCGCTACACTATGGCACCAGCCTGAAAGATTTACTATTTTTTTTTATTTGTAAGGCAGATTTACAGAGAAAAGGAGAGACACAGAGAGAAAAATCTTCCTTCCATTGATTCACTTCCCAAACGGCCACAATCGCCGGAGCTGAGCTGATCCAAAACTGATCTAAAGATCCAGGAATCTCTTCCAGGTCTCCCACATGAGTGCAGGGACCCAAGGACTTGAGCCATCCTCCACTGCTTTCCCAGGCCACAAGCAGGCAGCTGGATCTTGAATTGGCACCCATATGGGATGCTGGCAATTGAAAGTGGAAGATTAGCCTATTGAGCCATGGCGGCAACCCCTTAAAGTAACATTGAATTAATTATTCATAAACTCTTCAGAAGAATACAAGATGAGTTAATATGTCTCAACCCATATTATGAGACAGATATTATACTGATAGCATTAATAAACAGTATCACAAATAAAAATACAAGCCAATAACTGTTGTAAATATGAGCAAATAAGTCATCAACAAAATTCTAACACACTGCACCCAGCAACATACACAAATGATTAAATTACATGTGTAACATACCAGACAATAAAACAAAATGGTAACAGTAAGACCAGATCTCCTGAAACATTTCTAGGGCATGTCCATAATCATGGGTTATCGGGAGGTCCCAAAAGGGGAGTGAGAGTACTTAACACTAGAAAGGTATCTCATTCCAGGATGAGATCTTGCTCTTTTTTCACAGTTCACATGGTAAACTGATTGCTCCAAATTGGTTTCTGTACATGGAATTATAAGAATCTGCTTGCCCGGTTTAGTTGTTTGCTGCTACACATTTACTCACTGGATAGTTTAGAGTGCATAATGCTTAAACTGATGGGGCATCTGTGTTTCTCACCACTGCAGTTGATCGAATAACTGTAATTGTGTACTGATGTAAGTTTGTTTCATTGAATTATTCATACCCTGTACCAATGCCCTTTTAGTGGATGGGATGATCATTGTTTAACAATTCCTGAACACAGCTGATCAAGGCTGCTCCACTCTTCCAATTACAGCTGTATGGGACAGTCCTTAGGGTGGCACTAGCCAAGGTTTAAAGACTCCTGAGCTTCTAAGAGTCTGTCTCTGACTCATTTCTGTGATAGATTTCATCAGCTCGCAGCATTTGAACAGAGATTCATCTCAGAAAGACAAGATAGGTTTAGAACACAAGTATCAATTAACAATAGATATAATATTGATTGAGTAAAGAAGAGGAAATCATGATAACGTTGTTAGTCTCAGAAAAAGTATTGACAACACGCAATATTCCTTCATGATAAAAGATACTGACAAAACAGGAAATAGAAGAAATTTACTTAATACCCCAGAGGAAATCTATAAAGAACCCAGAGGTAACTTCCTACTGAATGGTGAGAGACTGAATTCTTTGTAAGGTCGGAATATTCATACCACTTCTCTTCATCATGTCAATGAGGTTCTTGCCAGAGAAGTTGCTAAGGAAAAGAAAGCAAGTGCATAGATTGGGAAGGATGGAGCAAAACTTTGTTTGCAGATGACATGATCTTGTTTGTAGAAAATCTTCAGAGTCACCAAAAACCACTAGACGTGTAGATCGGACATCTGAAATCCGAAGGCTAGAAATCAAATCTTTGGGTGACAACTTGGTACCTTACTTGTCTCATCTTAAAATCTTTACAAAGAAAATGCCTAGATGTGTTACAGAGACACAAATATCCATGTGGAATATTAATACATGACACATATTTCTGGTTTTCAGAGCCATAAAAGATCGAGATTCCTTGCAGACTGTAAGTCACATGCTCTCTATTTAAACTTGTACTTTGTGTTCTTTATAGACTCTACAAGTTGTCAGGACACATAATGCTGAATAAAGATCCCTGTACTCACTTCGGAAGATTTCAGCTGAAAAACTCAGCTTACCAGTTCTATTTATTTTATTAGACTTTATTATTACAATCATTTCACTTTGAAACTACTAATCATTATATCCTATGATATTCTTAATAGATTTTTAAATAGATTAATTGCTTCTCCTGTTTTTTTTAACCTCTTTTGCCTCAGTAATACCATCGATCCATTGTCTTCATGAATTGAAGCTTTCTTGCCTTAATACTTAGGTAGCCAAACCACCTTTCAAGACTGAGATGTTTGCGCTCCATTGTTACTAAAACCATGATATTTTTAGAAATGCCAACAGATGCAGGATGATTTTGAATTGTTATCAGAAGAGAAGACGATGCTGGAAAATGAACTATACCAGCTGAAGGGGACGGAGGTGGGTAAAATTTTAGTGCCTAACAATGTCTTAGAGTACCTAAATGGGGCTTATTATTTTAGGGAAGGGATCAAAGAGATATTTAAATGTCTTATAAAATGCTTTTAATATTAATACTGGCTGAGCTTTAAAGTAATATTCTAAATTACCATATTAGCTGTTAAAACCAAAAGGAAGCTACGAAAAGCATAAAGTCTAAACACTTCAAAGGACACTTCTAGATTAAGCCGTTACCTTTATTAACTTATCAGAGAGTTTTCAGATATATCTTAAATGAATTTTAGTACATCCCTGACAGTGATGTAATGTACACATTCCACTTCCCTGTTCCAGTGAAAGGCACAAAAATGCACCCTCCCCCCTAAAAAGAGTGTCTCTTTTGGATGTTCTTTTTCTCTTTTTGCCATTTTTATACAGCTTGTACAAATTACAGATAACAAAGCCAAGTAGATGGGATGCAAATTTTTATTATTAGGCATCTAAAACCCAAAGACCCATGGCTAAAGTATATTGTGGATAATTATCTCTGGTTGAATACGCAGCTTGCAAATCTTTCCCTCCATTCTATCACATGTCTGTTCACTCTATTGAGAAGTTTCTGAGTCTGGAAGAATCCCATCTCTCCACTTTGCCACAATTTGTAATTTTCCACCCTATTTTTCTCACCTTGCTGCACAAAGGCCTCTAGCATAATACCGAATAGAAATGATAAGCCATAAAGATGGTCATTTCTCATTTGTTTCTGATTTTATACATTCAGAGAATATCCTCTTGTTTTCTGTGGCTTGCCTCTCCTCTCTCTCTCTCTTTCTATCACATTAGCTATTTCCTTTTTTTTCCCGGCTCACTGTTTTATTAGGCTTCCAGCCTGTGCTCACTGCGCAATTCTAAAGCTACTTCCCCACTATTAATACATTTCTCAAACTTTTTGAGGAATTGTTTCATTTTACGTTTAACCCAGTGAGAAGTTGGCCTTTTGGTAAATCTGTTATCCATTGGATATTGCAGACTAAAGCAAGAAAAAAATCCCACCTCATTCTTTAATAGGTCCCTATTATTATGTTCATCTAAAATTTTCTTTCATGTAATTGTTAATTTTTAGCTTAATTATATAATGTGGACTTAGTAGGTTCAGCATTGCATTAGAACATCTGAACAGTTTTGCCTTAAGATTTGTCTTCAAATGCAAATTTTTCCAACAGCATCAGATACTTTGAGCATAATATGAATCCTACATGTATTCATGCACAGTTTCAGCTACCCCCCAAAAAATAATATTAGGTTAAAGCAAAAATCAGCTTGGTTCAACATGACATCATGTGAATTAGCTACCACACCAGCCCTTGTCTGGCGTTACAACTTTTATCTAATTTCAGATACCCCTGCTTTTATTACACAGTAAGTTGCAAGTTGTAATCTATTCAGTGTTCACTTGCACAGACAAGCTTCCAAGATAAAGTGCTACATTTTCTCATACTATGAAAATAGATCACAACTTTTATACAGTTGACTGTATAAAACTATAGGGTGCTACCATTTTGATTATGTTTCTATTTGCAAAAATGTGGCACTGGCAGTGTTTTTACATGATATGGGCCTAACCCATTTTTCATACATTCTACAAGTTTTATCACATGTTTTTGCATAATGAAATCATTCTCATGAAGGCATAATGTCACATTATGGCAGAACCAACTGTAACTTATCAGAGGAATTTTCCTGTTTTATTCTATGTCAATTCATAACTTGTAGACTGCAAAGCTCTGCTATAAATAGTCCAGCTGCAGGATGCATTGTTGCTTCTATTTAGAGAATCTTGCTTAAAACATATCATAGTGAATCTCAGCGTAAAATAGAAATCTCAGCAATATATATGATATTTCCCTAAAATGTTTTGTGTCCCCAACCATCTCTTTTCTGGATTGTATAAAATTGCACAGAGAGGAAAGTCTGCAGATGATCCAACAAAAAAAGGTGCAAAAGTGGAGAAGAAAAAAGAAAAGGATGCAGATGGGTGAGACATTGAAGACACGTGTCAATCTTGCTTTTCATTTTAGATAAACAATCCAAGATTATGTCAACATAATTTATTAGCAGGCTTTTGAAAACATACTAGCACATGTATAGCTTACTAACTGGACCAGCATAGGTGTTGGGAAAAGGGCAGAAAGGAAGAATAAATTACAAAAGTGGGTTAGAGTGGAGAATGAGCCACCAGACATTGAAGAGTAAGCAAACAGGTCAGGTCTTTAATCACAAGGAAAGAGGATTTACATGGTTTCCTCTCTGGTCTGGCTAATGCTTTGTAATTTGTTAAATCCCCAGATTTTTGTTTTGTTTTTAATTGTATTTCTTACTTGCACATTCTTTTTAAAATTTTCTTAAGTGATTTTAATTTTTTTTTATTAGAAAGGCAGATTTACAGAGAGTAGGATTCTCCTTCCACTGGCCCACTCCCCAGGTGGCTATAATGGCTGGAGCTGAGTGGACCCGAAGCCAAGAGCCAGGAGCCTCTTCCTGGTCTCCCATGCAGGTGCAGGGTCTCAAGGCTTTCGGTCATCTTCCACTGCTTTTCCAGGCCAAAAACAGGGAGCCAGATGGGAAGTGCAGCAAGCCAGAACACGAACAGACACCCATATGGGATCCCAGCACATGCAAGTCAAGGATTTAGCCACTAGGCCATTGTGCCATGCCCTACTTGTGCATATTTTTATAAAAACACCTATTTTTGTGTAGGTAGATTATTATAAAAGTGGGATTATTAAGTTAATATTTTCTTTCATATTTTGTAAAAGGATCAATGCATCTTGAAATTGCTTGGTCAATTCCTAGTATCAGAAGGTAGTTTTTGTTTTGTTTTGTTTTTTAAGATTTATTTTACTTACTTTAAATAGTTACAGAGTGGAATGCACAGATTCACTCTCCATTGACTCCAACATCTGCTTTGCTTTCCCAGGCTATTAGCAGGAAGCTGGCTTGGAAGTAGAGCAACCAGGACTTGAACTGTCACCCTATGGGATTCTAGCATTGCAGGTGGTGACTTAACTTGCTAAGTCACGTTGCTGGTCACTCCAAAGATACTTTAAGAAACTATAAACTTGGGCCCAGCATAATAGTGTAATGGTTAAAGTCCTTGCCTTGAATGTGCCAGGATCCTATATGGGCACCGGTTCTAATCCCGGCAGTCCCACTTCCTATCCAGCTTCCTAGGAAAGCAGTCGAGGACGGCCCAAATCCTTGGAATCCTGCACGTGCATGGGAGACCTGGAAATGCTCCTGGCTCCTGGCTTTGGATTGGCTCAGTACCAGCCATTGGGCTCACTTGGGGAGTGAATCATTGGACAGAAGATCTTCCTCTCTGTCTCTCCTCCTCTCTGTATATCCGCCTTTCCAATAAAAATAAATAAATCTTTTTAAAAAAAGAAACTATAAATTTATTTTCTGTTGAGTTCTTGTTTGATTTCATGGCCTCTGGCTTTGGCTTGGTCTAGTCCTGGCTATTTCAGGCATTTGGAGAGCGTGCCTGTGAATGGGAACTGCCTGTCCCTCTGTCATTCTCTCTCTCTCTAATAAAATAAAAATTTAAAATTGTAAAGCAAATGAGTGACACATTTCAAAAATGTCATTATGTATTTTAATTATAGGAAGATGTCTTTAATCAAGCAGGCTAAAATTAAAGAGTTGCTTAAAGCCCAGGTAAGACATATATTTATTCTATATGTTTATATTTGATTAATTATGTGTGTGACAATTATTTATATAGACATTATTATGAATAAGTTTAGGGTAGGAATGAATATGTACCAAAGTTCTTCCCAAGATGTATCTTTTTTGGCTTACTTTTATCGGCAGGTTTCAGAAAATAAAGTGGTATGTCCAGGCATATTTATGTCACCTCTGGATAATGAAAACCACTCTGAGTTCCTCAACTACAGCTAGTGTTATCAAAGAAAGAACTTCACTGGGAGTTTTAATAGGAACTTACCATTATATGACTTATGATAAATTCCATCTATTTGAAACTGATAGTTTCCATGGTCAAAATGGATAAAATAATGGTAACTCTGTCTAAAACACGGTATGACTTGTAAGAAGAAAATAAAACATTTTATGAGCTTAATGGCTTACTCTGTTTCATATGATCCAATAAAATGCATGCAAGTAATTCATTATTTCAATCTGGCTTTGGAATAACCTCTTTTTCTTTAGCTACAAGTTAATTTGTGAACAACCATTGCAGTGAGTGGCTGAAGTTGTGCTTGAACGATTCAAGAACTAGATCATATAAATTCAGGAAGGGATGAGAGTGATGCGTGAGCTGCTGCATCTAACCTGTACAAGTGAACTGTTTAGTTTTCCACTGCTGTTTCTTAGCTGTGTCCTATGATGGTGCTGTCCACAAGCTGCCACAAAGCTACCGGCTGGGCGCGACTCCATTCTGGAAGTTGGAGGGTTCCTCGGATTTTGCAGAGATGGTTTTCAGTTTCTGGCTACACGGCTTTTTCCTGAGGCAGTTCATATTACAGCAATTTTATGTGGCGACAAGATGAAACACATCAATTTTTTTTTTAGAAGCGTTTTCCATTTTCTTTCATCACACCCCTTAAAGAAGTCACAAGGGGTAGGAGTAACACACATACAGGGTAGGAGGAACTGGTGGCAGTCATTTCCAGCAATAATCCACCATATATTCAATTTTGGTAAATACCCTATTGAGATAAAAATTCGGCATATTTTCCATGGTTAGATCTAGCCATTACCTATGCTGATCAAATTACTCTAAAATTTGAAGCAGATTTATTATTTCTCTTGTGACTGGATAGCTCTTCTCTCTGGGTAGGTTCAACTTAAGTGCAATATCCTTTCTTTAAAAAAAAAAATTATTTATACTCTTTTTTGGTAGTCAGACTTACAGGGAGGGAAGGAGAAACAGAGATTTTCCATCTGCTGATTCATTCCCCAAATGGCCACAACAGCTAGAGCCAGGAGTTTCTTCTAGTTCTCCCATATGGGTGCAGGTCACCAAGGACATGGACCATCTTTCACTGCTTTTCCAGGCCACAAGCAGGGAGCTGGATTGGAAACGAAGTAGCAGGAACTCAAACCAGCACCCCTATGGGATGCTGGCACCACAAACGTTAGCTTGCTATACCATGGCACCAACCCTTAGGATGAATATCTTGAGATGATTTTACTCCTGTGTGAAGTCTCCATCTGGATTAGGCATAGTTTTTTTCTTCTCCCTAACCCAAACTAGTTTTCAGGAGGGCTTTGGGAAGGAAGGTAACACAGACATACCATGAGAGCTAAGTCACAGACCAGCTGAGTTTCATGGAACAAAGAAGCAGACTCCAGCTCTGGATGGGAATTTATGTTCATTTGTATTCTGTCCCAACGGAATGCATTCTCCTCCCCTTTCTCCCTGCGTATAAACTGTAGTTTTCTTTGGGCCTGTCTACTTGTTGTCCATCTTGAATCTACAGATTTCACTGTTTGGGGGAATTTCTAGCTCTAATTTTTCAAAGATTTCCCTACTTCATTTCACCTTTGCTCTCTCATTTGTGGGACTGCAAATATGTTAGATGTTTGATAGTCTCCCACATTTTCCAGTGTGTCTGTCATTAAACTCTGTTCTTTGCATTTTGATCAGATATTTTCTGTTGATGTGTGCTTAAATGGCTTGACTTTTTTTTTTCCCCCACTGTCAAATCTGATCTGTTCCTAACACCATTCCTTAGAACTTTACATTCAGATATGATATATTCAGGACTAGAATACCCTTTTGACCTAGTTTGTTTTTAAAAACATATTCATGATTTCTTTCATTCTGAGCATATATTTCTTTACCTTGGGCACTATTTTAATAGCTGCTTTAAAAGTCTAGTGTGCTAATTCTAAATATCTGGATTTTCTTGACTCTTTGTCCACGATCTTTTATTTTAAAAGCAAATCTCATTTTTCTGTTTCTTGGCCTGTCAAGTAGTTATAAATTGTGCCGTGCAGATTGCAACTCGCAGGTTGTTACAACTCTGATCCTGTTATATTAGTTTGATGATAGGTGCTCCGTCCCCCCCACTTTCATATATAATTCCCATGTTTGTCCACAACATGTAAATGATATATTTAGCAAGCAGCTCAAACTGCATTTCAGTCCTTTTAGCTCTGACTGGGCTGCTTAGAGCCTAGGTGCTTGTGGTTCGCTGTTCCTGTCTGCTCTACAGGGGTTGGTGTTTGCGTCTTGGCCACAACTTTGGATAGTCACATGTGGCAGAGTTTGTCCCACAGAACCTGCTTAGCCACACCAGAAGCAGCCCTCAAACTGTACTCCAGCTGATGAGAACAGGAGACTTTCTCACGTGTGACTGAATCCATTAATGCTCACAGCTGGACTGTTTGTTTGGTGTAACTAGTAAAGATTCTCCTTTTGGTAAAATTTCCAATGTCACTGCTTAAATATCTGAGGCCTAGAGGGAAAGGAGGAATGGAATGCTTCACTTAATCTAGTCACAATTTGCAGGATTCCCAGTCAGTTTGCCTCTTGGAAATCAAGAGGAAGTTGTAATATCCAGTAATAACCAGCTTGGTGCCCCCAGAAGTGTATGGTTAAATGCTTACGCTTCAGTCATCATCTTGACTGCCTGTGGATTTTAGAAAAATAATAATTGTAAAAATAGACTAATGAAAAGTTGCTAGAATAAATATACCTTCTTTCTTCTTCCTAGAAAACAGCAGGTGCTCTGGAAGTTGAAAATAAAATCCTTCAGGAAAAACTGAAGCAGGCTTTACAGGTAAAGGATATCACGTTCCTTTAACATTATCAAGAAAAGAAATATCCACAGAAGGGGCCGCTGCCATGGCATCACACTTTAAGCTGCCACCTGCCATGGCGTCATTCTTGAGCTCTGTTTCAAGTCCCTGCTGTGCCACTTCCTCTTCCTAATGAGCCTGGGAAGGCTTCAGGAGACCACCCAAATGCTTGAGTCCTGACCCATGTGGGAGACTTGGAAGGAGTTCCTGGCTCTAGGCTTTTACCCAGCAGCCCTGGCCATTGCACTCATCTGGGGAATAAACTAGTACATAGAGGTTCTTAATAGAATGACAACTTTTTTTAAAAATAAATCTTTATACCATCTGCCTGACTTAGGATATGTTAGTATTATTCAATAGGATCCATCAGCAAGATGCTGGATTAGAAGTGATGCCAGGGATGTAAGTATCCCAAGAAGAGGGTTAACCCACTACACCAGAATACCCACTCCAAATGTTTACACTAGCTACTAGTTGTATTTGCATATAATTATAAAGGATATACATCAAAATGTTAAGAATAATTTGTTGTAGGTTATTTGTGAATTATCTTCTTGTTGATCTATTTTTTCATAGAAGTAATATAACTAAAACAATAAAATAACTAACTAAAAATGTAAAAATGACATTGTAAAGAAAATTTTCAGTCAAGAAATAAATTATTCTCTGCATTTTTTTCATTCTTTGATATTATGGGTATGAATTATCTTTTTTACAATCTGCCTCTTATTGAATTTTAATTTGCCCACTTAATAAGTACAGCCTTAAGAAAAAGAAAAAGAAAATTCCAAGTATAAAAATAGTCCTAAAGAGATTTTTTTCTCCCATAGCTTTTGATTTTAAATGTGGTGCTATTAAAATGTTGGTTTTAGCAATTACTTAACTTAGCTTCTTCCAACTCTGTTAAAGTCAAAGTTGAGAAATAAGTTGAGCATAAATATATATAGATTTTAAAGGTTTCAAGACTGGCAGGAAAATATCCTAGACAACGGCACTTGACGAACTGGAATTTCTTCAAAAAACAGGAAGCTGAAAGGACGAGGAATCAGCTGGACTACCTCCTAAGTCAAGAGCAATCCAAGACAGCATTGGAAATGGATGTCACCAAAACAAAAGTTAAAGATGAAGATTTGAAAAATCAGCCCTCAGATCAAGTTCCTGATACGAATGAATCAAAGATCATTGATAACATGTCAGAACACTCACAGGTAAGGAAGTACCCAAAATAGAAGCAGCGGTGAGTGCTGTAGAAAGTTATTTTTTATATGATCACTTAATTCATATATATGAACTTATTTATATATATTATATATAAGGCATATATATGCTTTTTAAATTTAGACTTTGCCTTTTAGTTATTAGTATATCAGTTTATCATTGCCTTGAATACCATGCTATGAAATAAACTGTGTAACTTCACGGTATTGTTGAGATAGATTTCAAATACAAGTCTTTTTTTTTTTAAGATTTATTTTATTTTCATTGGAAAGGCGGATATACAGAGAGGAGAGACAGAGAGGGAGATTCTCCCTCCGATGATTTGCTCCCCAAGTGAGCACAACGGGCCGATGCTATGCCGATCCGAAGCCAGGAGCCTCTTCCGGGGCTCCGAAGCTGGTGCAGGGTCCCAAAGCCTTGGGCCATCCTCAACTGCTTTCACAAGCAGGGAGCTGGAAGGGAAGCGGGGCTGCCGGGATTAGTACCGGCGCCCATATGGAATCCCGGGCGTGCAAGGCGAGGACCTTAACCACTGCGCCACCGCGCCGGGCCCATCAAATACAAGTCTTTTTATGCCTGTAATCATGTCTGAGTTATCTCCCCTTGTCTAGGTAGTTACATTTGAACACTCAGGTTGTTAATAGTTCAGTGGCTTGTATTTTCCAGGGTTTTTTTTTTTGTCTAAATCCAAAATGAAAGTTTCATATAGACATGTTAAATACAAAAGAAGCTAGATGCAAAAGTAAAATGAATCATAACCAAAAAAAAAGGGAAGGAAAAGAAAAAAAAAGTAACTTTGTTATCTAATATGCCATGCTTGTTACTTTCAAATGTGCAAGTTACTCTAATTTTTAGTGGCTTACGTATAGATTAATGTATACCTGACATCTTGCATTTACAGCTTAACACTCAACAAATGTCTCTTAATTGTTGGAATTCTTGACATATACAATAAATATAATGCCGTTTACTCTGATTGGCCTGTTCTGATGAATAATGAAACAAATTAAATAAACAGATACTGGAAATTGAAGGGAAATTGTTCATACTCACTGTTTCACCATCTGCTCGTACAGTAATTCTTCAGTTAACTGTCATAATCTTGGTTTTGTTCTCAACCACTCTTTGCAGCTGTGCCAAGGTCACAAAAAACAAAACAAAACAAACAACAAAAACCTTGCTACTGTTTGGAAGGAAGCTTCATGGCTTTATCTCACTGTTTCTCTTTCCAGCTTTTGACCGTAGTCTGTAGTTTGTTTTAGGAACAGCATAATTACTCGACTTTCCTTTTCTGCCAGATACTCCTCTTTGGTCTATTGCTTTATCCATTCTTCAACTTGGTATTTCCTAGGGTTTTGTCTAGTTTCAGTCCAAAAACTCTCTCTGAGCATGCTCATAGCTATTGTGCCTTCCAGTGCCACATACATCTCTTATCTCCAGATCATATGCATTGTCTAGCGTTTACTTGAATGGGCTGCAGAAGCTGGAACTCATCATGTCTCCTCATGAACTGGCTTCCTTCTTCTCAGAACGGATTCATCTCTCAGCATTTCTAATTTTCTGGCATTCTCATCTATTTAATTGCTGAAAATATAAATTTGGGGAAGCGTTGTTTTCCCTTCTGTTCCTCTGTCTCAAGCCAATTCTAAGTGATAAAATTCTGTCTCAATTTCACTGAAAATTCCCTTAATCAAGCTTCTAAGAGAACTCTAAATGGTCTCCCTCTCTCCAGCATTGACTATCTTAGGTCCAGCCTGCCCTTATCTAGACATCTTTCAAAAATGTATTATCTAGAGAGCCAGCACCATTGCACAGCAAGTTAAGCCTGCACCTGTGCTGCCAGCATCCCATATAGAAGCTATTCTAGTCCTGTTTCACTTTGAAACAAACTCCCTGGTAATGGCTTGGGAACGCAGTAGAGAGTGTCCCAACCTCTTGGGCCTCAGTGCCTACATGAGAGTCCTAGAAGGAAACTGCTGGCACTTAACTTCAGCCGGCCCAGCCCTGGCTGTTGTGGCCATTTGGGGAGTGAATCAGCAGGTGGATGATCTCTTGCTCTCTCACTCTCTCTCACCTTCTCTCTTTCTCTCTCTCTCTCTCTCTCTCTCTCTCTCTCTCTCTCTCTCTGTGTGTGTGTTGCTCTCAGGCTCCACAATTTCAAAATTTTTTTTATGAAGAATATGTACTTTTACACTCTCATGGAACTGTTTTTAGGCCTCAGATGGCCTCTGGTTTGAGACAGCAGAGCGTTTCCATGGAAAGTTATCAACCCAAGAGCAGAAATGTGTGGCTATCCAGATAGATATATGGGTAAAAAGAGAGGGGATCATGGCAAGGGAACACAGAGAATCTTAGAAATGATATCCCAACACTTGTGTCATACCCAAATCATTCGAAGCTCATGGAGTTACTGGGGTCATTCCACACCTTATGAAAGGAAATATCATACCACTGACACATACCACTCCTCTTAAGGAGGAGATCACAGGGAGCCATTTTGACAAAAGATTGTGGAAACTCCTAAATTGAATGTCAAATGCATCACTGTGATCTTCACTATTCAAACTCCATGGAAGTTTTTTTTTTTGAAAGAAATGTGACAACTTTTATTATTTTATGATACAGTTCCATAAGCTCTGGGATTTCCCTTTCCCCTTTTCCACATCCCTTCCCCCCACTAACTTCCCCTATGTTATTACAATAGTATAGTACTTCATAAGCAGTCATAAGTCCATCATTCCACTATTTAACTACATCCTGACATTGTAGATATGGACAATGGCAGAGAGTCCAGCATCCCATTGTCCAGATATGTTTAACAGTTTGATTGGGAATCCACCTTTGATTTGGAAGTAGAGATGCATATTGCATTATATCTTTACATCTCGGTATGATAGTCTCTATTACACAATTATTATAGATCCCTTTAAATGAAAAGCCATAAAACAAAATCAACAACTGGAAGAAAAATAGAAAATTTACAACAACATGAAGTTAAATAACATGTTACTGAATGACCAATGTGTCACTGAAGAAATGAAAGGGAAAATTAAAAATGTACTAGAAGAAAATGATGCTACTGTGTGACTTCTCTGTCAGTGAGGAACTTAATAAGAAAAAAAACTTTTTGAAGAAATGAAAATAAAAATAGACTATCAAAACCCTTGAGATGCAGCAAAAACAGTATTGAGAGGGATATTTATAACATCAGGTTCTTAAAAAATCAAAATATCTCTTAACTTCATGGTATTGTTAATTTCTTCCATTTGTTGAATTTGTTTTGTGGCTTTTCACTTAATGGGATGTATAGTAGCTGTGTAATGGAGACTGTCATATCTAGTGGCATTTAACTTAACTTCATGGCATTGTAAATTTCTATTTTTCATTCTATTGTTGATTTTGCATTGTGACTTTTCATTTCAGGGGATGTATAGTAACTGTGTAATGGAGACTAACATGTCCAGATGTGAAGATACAATGCAGTCTGCATCTCCACTTCCAGAACAAAGATGGACTTATAATGAAACTGTTTACTATATCTTGACAATAGGATGCTGGACACTCTGCCATTGTCCATGCCCGCAATGATGAACATATGACTTTGTATGAAGAACTATACTCTAGTAATGATATAGGGGAACTCAGTGGTGGGGGGTGGAAATGGGGAGGGAATAAGTGAAATCTCAGGAACCTATGGAACTATATCATAAAATGATAATAATAATAATAATAATAATAATAATAATAAAAGAGTAAAGGTAAAAAACTCAAATGACCTAATAATGCACCTCAATAACTTATTGAAAAAGTGAACAGAAAGTCAGAAATGATTTTTAAAAAGCAAAAATAAATGGATATGAAACTAAAAAATTATACATTGCAACAAGTTAGAGCCATTTTTTTTAAAGAAAATTAGCAAAACAAACTTGTAGACAGACTAGCAAAGAAAAACAAGATGGTAAAACAAGTAAAATTAGAAAGGAAAACGAAAACATCCTAAGATACTGGTAAAGTGATCTCTTCTTGCTGAATGGATCCTTCGAGCATTATGTGGTATTCTTCATCACTTTTAATATTGCTCGTGTCGAAGTGTATGTTATCTGGTGTAAGAGTGGCTACACTAGTTTCTTTTTCCTTTCCATTAGCCTGGGATATCGCTTTCCATCCTTTCAATTTCAATTTCCACCTGTCCTTGTTGGTGAGATATGTCTCTTATAGGCAACAGATAGATGGGTTTGGATTTTTGATCTGGTCCACTAATGTATGATGTTTAATTGATGAGTTTAATCCATTTACATTCAGGGTTAATATCAATAGGTGGTAAATTGATCCTATTGGTCATTTTAGCAATGGGTTGTTCATTGTTTGATTTAGCCTTCTGTTGTTATTTTACTTGGATGTTCTTCACATTTGCCTTTGGTTTTGGTAGGTACTATTTCTTTTCTTTGCCAATAGAATATCTTTAAGCATCATTTGAAGGCAAGTCAGGAAGAGGCGGATTCTTTGAGCTTTTCTGTACTGTGGGAGAATGTTATTTCATTTTCAAAGACAAAGGAAAACTTTGCTGAGTACATTATTCTGGGCTGACAAAAACTGGGACATGTGGAAAGTCATGAGTGGTTTCCCTCTTTGTCTCTCTCCAGTGCCCAGGATTAGGGAGTCACCAGATGTCCTAAATCACTGGGTTGTCAGTGGTGCTGCTCTTGCCAGAACCTGCTGGCCATTATGTCTGAAGCAGAGCCTGGCAACATTTGATGCACTGGCTGCCCCAAAGCCAAGCTTTGGCCTGAGTCCCCAGCCTTGGATTCGGCCTGGCAGGGGCACCACCCCCCCATAGCTGCCACACTGTGGGGAGCTGCAAGCCACCCCTAAACCCAAAGCCAGGACCCCTCCCAGACTTGGCCTGGCACAAGGTTTTGCCGGCAGGGAGGAGCTAATACTTTAATCCAGTTCCCATGTTTCCCAAAAAGTTTGTGGGAAAATGGAATTATGAGATGTTTATTTGATGCAAACAATTTTGAAATCATGTATATTTATTCACAATATACTTGGTTACTTTTCTGCAAGTTTTTCAAGACATTTCTCACTTTTAATATTCCTTCTAAATGCACATTTCTACTTGATTTTTTTTACTAAATATTAATGCTTCTGCATGAGACAGTGCAATGTTTTAACACCTATATACAATTTATTTTTTAAAATGTATAAATTGCCAAAAAATGTGCAGATTGATATGTTATATAGCATATTAGTATTACATGTCTTTCAAAAAGAATACTTGAAAATCATATAAGATCATATCATATATAGGATTATAAGATCATATAATTATGTAATGGTAGTTTCAAAGTAATTTGTTTAGTGAAAGAATAATCCCCCTTACTTTTACTTTATAAATACAATTTTGTAATCTGCTTCTCTCCCAAAAAGTCTCCTCCAAAATCAGGCTGTGATCATTTGTTAGATTCTTTGATGTCTTAGCCTTACAAAATTCTTATATTAAAATATTGTCTTGAATGGTATGATTAACATATAAACATTTTATATGGATAATTAGAATACTTAAATTTAGTATTATCCCTATCACAGGACTCAACCATCCAGAATGAAGAATCATTAAAAGAAAGGTAAAATATTTTTAATTGCCCTTTTTATAATTTTATCAGTCTATATGCCTAGGTGATAAAAAGAGCCATTCCGTGTCATAAGATTGATTTGTGTCTTTCCTCACAATAGTGTACTGTTGTCTTTTAAGTAATTCTAAACACAAAATGTTTGTAATATAGCTTTTTTCCATTTTTTAAATTATATTTTTGACAATCTTTACATAGTTAATTAGGGTAAAAAGGTTCAAGGGACATAGGAAAGTGGGTAAAACTATAATTTCCATATCGTTTCCTTCATGTGTCTGGGGTAAAGGGGGATATTAAGGGAGACGCTTCACCCATTCTCCCACCCACCCACACCAGGTCCCTGGTGTGGGGCATGCTCTGAGATTCTTGCTCAGGTGGTTTTGATAGTTCACCAGTTCTGAATTGCTGCCAATCTCACCACTCCAAGCACGATGATGTCATTGAAGAATCCACTGATTGACCTAGTCCATCTTACAATCTCCGTTTGCCCAGTTTTTCACTGCCAACATATAGCTGAGGTGGTTGATTGACTTGTTCTGTCCTCTGTATTTTCATGGTTAGGGTTCTGAATCCAGCAGTTTGATTGGGGAGATCCCCAAAGAAGCTTTGTCTGAGGTGTTCCCAGACCAGAATCTTGTATGTACTAGCACATACAGGGCCGGCACAGCTGGGCCCCAATCCATCACCCCAATCAGCTGGTTGTTGCAATTGCTGGGTTGGTTCTATTTCCAGCCCTGATTTCCACTGGAACCAATGGGTGTTGAAGTCCAGCCTGGTTCTGCTCAGCACACACTTGGCCCTCACATAAACCAGTGGGAGCTGCAGCCTAGTCTGAGTGACCCACAATAACCCCCACCAGGCCCACCCCCTATCCTGGTTTGCCAGTCTGTGTAGCAGACTAGTCCAGTCTGTCCCACATCCCATTTGGCTCTCGTACATGTCAATGGGTATTAAAGCCTAGTTTCATCTAACCAGCTCAACTATCCAACCCTCACGGATGTTGTTGAGTGCCTTTCTGTTAGCCACCCCAGCCCCTGTCCTAGGTTTTGTGCCCTCCCGTGGAAATGGTAACCCAAGAGGGAAGAGCCCACTATTTCCCTCCCAGGCCATTCCCACTACCGGATTATGCACTCTCCAGGTGGTTCTGTGGTTTAACTTGACAGAATTAGCCCCCAGTGCCAACTTCTGCCAGCTGATGCTGTGGTTAAGCCCAGTAAACCCTCACCCACTCTGATTGTAGTTTGCACCAGTCGGAACAGTCAGCCCAATTTGGCCCTTCTTCAATCTAGCTCACATGAGGCCCACATGCGTTGTAGCCCTGCTTAGTCTGGTCTGCTCCCATCCCAGGTCACGATCTCCAGTGGGAGTGAGTGTCCAGCAGGGGAACCCCCCCCCATATTCTTCTTGCCTGCTCCGCCCCTCCCTTCCTGATTCTCATGTGTGCTGTTTCGGCGCTGCAGTCACATCCGGTACTGGTAACTTCACCGTGGCATTCTGTAGTTTGCCCTGGTTTTTGTCACAACCAAACCTGGTCCAACCCACACTCTGTTCTGGTGCTTGGATTTGCCAGTGGATGATGTGAACTGATTCAGCCTGGTCTGCCCCTGACCCATGCCAATTGTATGCCAGTGGGAAACTTTCCATGGCCTGTTCTGGGCTGTTTCCTATCATGTTTCTTGAGCTTACCTGCCGGGTCTGTGTTCTGCCAGAGGAGTTGGCGAGGCTCCTCCATTAGAACCTCTCCCAATGCCAGATTTTGCACATACCCAGCGGGTCCATGAGCCAGTCCTACTCAGTTCACCTCCTGTCCTAGCACGAACAGTGGCTTTTCCTGACTGGCCTTCAACCCAAACTGGTCCTTGCTGTTGGATGTTTCAGCCCAACCATGGCTTGTCCATACCCACATACAGTTCACACATGGCTCAGTAAGGGCTAAGACATAGCCTAGTCCATCCCACTGCTACCCACTGGTCCTCTAGAACACCAGACAGTGTTGGAGTCTGGCCCGGTTCGGTGCATCCAATCCCAGTCCACACTTGTGCCAAGGGAGACTACAACCGTATCCTAATCAGAACGCAGCCCCCATTCCAGCCCCGTGCTCCTTGGTGGGAACCTCCACCCAGCTGTGGTGTCCCCTTAGCTCCCCAACCGGGTCTGTTACTAGCTGTAGATTGTGCGCACGCCAGTGGTTGCTCTGACTCAGCTTGGCACAGCCCCTCAATTGTCCCTACCCCTGCCTTAGACACTGTGGCTTGGCGTCTCTGACTCACACAGACCAGTAGGTATAAGAACCCAGCTCGGGCCTGGTGCGATAGCGTAGTGGTTAAAGTCCTCGCCTTGCACGCCAGGATCCCATATGGGCGCCAGTTCTAATGCTGGCAGCCCCACTTCCCATCCAGCTCCCTGCTAGTGGCCTGGGAAAGCAGTTGAGGATGGCCCCAAAGCCTTGGGACCCTGTACCCACATGGGAGACCTGGAAATGCTCCTGGCTCCTGGCTTCGGATTGGAGCAGTTTCAGCCGTTGCGGTCACTTGGGGAGTGATCTTTCTTTCTGTCTCTCCTCCTCTCTGTATATCCTTTGCAATAAAAATAAATAAATCTTAACAACCAAAAAAAAAAAAAAAAAACCCAGCTCGGCATGACCTGTGCTCCATCCTGGTTTCTAATTTTGCTTGTGGGGTAAGGTTTGCTCAGTCCTGCCCAGTACACCCCATTCCATTACCAACTCACACATTGGCCAGCCATTGGAGCTACTTTGCCAAGCTTGTCTGACCCCCAGGTCTGGACCACATGTTCACCAGCGGGAGCTATGACTCCAAGCGAGTTTCTCAAGTTCCTCCACTTAATCCACTCCCAGACCCAGTTCTCATACATGCCATTGGGTTTTAGGCCAATGCCCAGCGAAGTCTGGCCTTCCATTTGGCCTGTATGAGCTGGTGAACGTTGCAGCCTGGCCCACCCCACACCCTATTCAGGATGCACATTCGGGTACTGCTGCCTTGACCAGTCCAGACTATTGCGGGTTCCTTTACCTGTGATTGATGGAAGGCTCCTTGATCACATCTAGCTTAGTCCGTCCTCACGCCAACTCTTGAGCTAACCGTGGGGCTACTATTTTCACAGGATGTGGCCCACACATCCCCCACAGAATCTACCCCTAGATATGGTTGGTTCTCTCATGTGCTAGTTAATGCCATGGCCCTGCCTAATTTGACCCATCTCCTGATCCATCATCATGTCAGATAATAGGATAGGATCCTGCTATATAAGCTTCGCGTCTTAGCTTTTGCGTGGTCAGCATTGTTCAGTGATTACAAGTTCTTCAAAGGAAAAGTCTTCCTGTCATTGGGAATCTTTAGGATTGATTCACATCCCAGAAGCACAGTGGATTTAACATCGAGCTACCTGAGCAGCAATTCAAAGAACCAAAACTCCAGAGCTCGTGGCCGGGCAGCCAGCAGGCAGAGCTTGGCACCAAATAGCATGCTGGTCACCGGGGTCAGCTTACCACGTGCACGCAGTGACTGGAGTCAGGGAAATGAGCATGGAGATGCCCCGGTCTGGCATCCAACAGCAGCCAGTAGGCTGCCGGAAGTTTCAAACCCCCAGACCCAAGTTCATGCCCCTCCCCAATCCCATCCCCTGCTCAATGATGGTGACGGGTGGGCTCCAGGCCTGCCCGGTCCCCAAGACCCCCCCCCATGGTGTACTCACCCCGAAGGGTGCAGCTCCTGGAGCCCAGGCAGGCCCAGGGACAGCTCACCACGTGTACGCGGTGGCTGGAGTCAGGGATCTGAGTATGGAGATGCCTTGACCTGGCACCCACCCTATTTGTAATATTAAACACCAAAACCTGATAGTTTGAATGCAGTCAAACATCAAACATTTTAAATGTAGACCGGTCTAATGTTTAAACATATGTTTACATATGTTTTCTTATCTAGCAGTAGTAAAAGAAGGTAGCTGACCTTTATTTTGAATTTAGTTGTCATCAAGACTCGAGACCTAGATACATACTATACTCTGTACTCTGTTAAGAATTGTTTTGCCTTACATTTTTACTGAGACCAGGTCTTCCACATGAGTAAAGGGTCTCAAAGAATATGAACCATGCTCCTCGGTTTTCCCAGGCCAGATCAAAATTGGAGCAGCCAGCACATGAACAGGTGCCCATATGGCATGCCAGCATTTGCAGGTGAAGGATTAGCTCATTGAGCCACCACACCCGATCCTGATCACGCATATTTTAAGAGTAAATAAGAGAGAAAGTTAGACACAGATTTGCTTATTACTTTGTAAATGTATTATAGGTAATTTTCCTGTCATTTATTCCTTTGTATTTTAAATGTATATCTGGTCAGGACTGTGAACATTGAAAAAGTAAGATAAATGTTTCAAAAATTATTTTACTTCTCATGGGTGCTTAATCATCTTAGCACTCATGTAGAAAAGAAACAAAACATGATGCTCTTACATTCATACTGGTTATAGTTGAACATGACATGACTTCTATAGTTTTTCTGAGGAAATAGAAATGCTATGAATCTAATAATTTATTGTGCTAAAGAAGATAAAGTGACCACTTTGGATATCAGTTGTTTTAATGTTGAGCATCTAGTTGTTGCTGGTGCCTTTGAGGAATTTCAGGAAACAGAAACATTAGTTAATAAAGAATTTTGAAGAGACTCTGTATTCTCTGGAAGCAAAGGAAGATCCCAATTATTTCCCACAGATCATTGGGAAAACATGTGAATTAATGTTAGTATAACGTTTCAAATGGAAGAAGCATTTGATGAGAACAGACTGAGGATGATAAGCAAAATGTGGATATTAAGATCAGAACAAAAATACAGCAGGAATACCAAATAATCTCCTTTTTCCCTCCTAGAAATATTGACTGATACAATATTCCTTAATTTCAGAAAGATTATTTCAATTTAATTTAGTCCTAATAAGGAAAGTTTGAGTTAGAATCTATATTACCAGATGTAAAAGGATGGCAAATAAATGCTTTTTGCCCACAAAACCCTGAGTAAGGCAGGATGCTAAGTTAGTGTATTAGTAAGTTAGATGTGAAATTCACAAAAATAGATAGGACATAGTGCAGAGGGTACATTCTGTAAAACTTACCAAAAAGCAACATCAAAAAGAACACTTTTTAAAAAGGCTGGAATGAAAAATTGCATAGCATTTTAATATGAGAGAGACAATGGGGTTAGCTTTTCACAAGGGAAGGTGGAAATAGGAGAGTTCCAGTTGGACACAGCTTTGCTTTGAGGCAAGGTTGAAGGTATTTAGAATTTCCAGGGTACAAAGGGAAAAAGTCAGTAATTCATTTTATTTGGAGTCTAACTAAGGATAACAGTGGGAAATAGAACATGAAGTAGATTGTTTTCGATTGTTGGATTTGATGGAACTGTCTGTAACAGCTTTATGTTAAATTTTGGTAAAGATAACAAAAATACAAACTTGTAGCCCATGGCTATGTTACTTACCAACATTCCTTTCGGGTTGCTTCCTAGACCCCAGCAGGATCTCTGAGATACTTTGGAACAGTCCCCCAAGCCTGCAGAGCTGGATGGAAGCGAAGGAGACCTGCCTAGATACATGGTATTGCCTACAATAAAGTACATCTTTTTTGCACTTAACATGTAGCTATCTACTTTGCCTTAGGGAACGAAATAGTGCAAAACAGTTAATCAAATAATAGATTTTAGTAATTTATTTGGACGGCCTTTTAGAAAGTGAGCCTGCTAACAGAAGTTCTTTCTTTAAATCTCTTTCTCCCTCTTTTGCTCTGCCTGTCCAGTGAATAAGCATATCTTTAAAATTGTTTAACGTCATATGGGCTATTGGCTTTTCTTAAAATATGCTACAGCATCGACATTCACATGTTTTGTAAATAAAAATGTAAACTAGTTCTTGGAGTTTTATTTTTTTTTCCTTCACCCAAGAAGTTTTATTGTAGTAAGAATATTTAACATGTAATCATTTGGAGTTTTATTTTTAAAAATTATGCATCTAACGTACTTGAAGACAAACTTCTCCACAATACTACTTAGTATTTTATACAACACAATCACACAAAGAGGAAGAAATGAATATATGTCCACTTTTTCTTGCAGATTAGGTATTTAGCTAAATTTCCTCACCCATTTTTTTTTATAAAGATTGATCAATTTATTTGAAAATCAGAATTGCAGATTAGGTGAGGAAGAGAAAGATGTATTTTGCATTTGTTGGTTCACTTTTCCAGATGACCAAATGGCCAGGGCTGAGCCAGCCAGTCAGAAGCCAAGAGCTTCCTTCAGGGTTCCTATATGAGTGGCAGGGGCCCAAGCACGTGGGCCATCTTACTGCTTCTCTCAGGCCATCAGCAGGAAGCTGGATCAAAAACAGAGCAGTCAGGACCCCAACTGTCGACCAAATGCGATGCCAGCATTGTAGGCATAGGCTTTACCACAACATCACAATGTCAGCAACCTTCTCATTCATTTAATAACGAAACTCATTTATTCAACAAATAGTTTTGTCAACTTCATATCTCAGGTAGTCCTCTAGGTGCTGGGTTTTATATGAAAGTAGAGTAGATAAAATCCTTTGTTGTTGTTAATCTTGTGCTATAATAGAAACAGACAGGCAATACACAGCAAAAATAAATGAATAAATAATATTTTAAATTATGTTCTTTTTTATATTGCTTACATAGTTGAGAGGGATACACACCCATGTGGGTCTCTGATTAGAGTGGTGAGGGCCAGGTGAGGAAGGTGAGTGGAACAGATGTTTTATTTTTGTTTTTTTTTTTTTCCTCCTGTGTCCGCAGGAGAGGAATAGGAGGGAACTGCTCCTTGCTGTTAAACCATGAAAGCACCTGAAGATGGGGGATGGTCCTTTGATGACACCTTAGAGACACCGATGTTCAGAAAGTATAACTTGAGTAGTTCTGACAGTTCTGAATAATTGTCAGTTTCATTGCTCCAGGGTTGAGAAAAATCTTTCCAAGGTCTATTGGTTGACAAAGTCCACTTTATTGCACTCACAGACCCAGGAGCATGCTGCAAAGCTTGGCCAAACGAATTGTCCAACCTTTCCATCCTTTGATGGGGCAGTGGATGTCCCCTAATGGCCTGGATGAGCTAACCATCATGTCCCCCATGTGCATCTGGGCATGCTGTCCATTGTACAGGCATCAGAAACTGAGGAGATCATGTCCCAGAACGTGCTCTTGGACCACACAATCCTGTGATTTCCCCTGTGGCCAGGTCTGAGTCCAGCAGTCTAGCTGGGAAGTTCCCCAAGAAACCTCAGCTAGGGAGACCTCAGACTTCTATGTGCATCAGCCAGAGCTGGGTCAGGTGTAGTCTACCACCTGCACCACTCAATTTGCATATACCAGTGCATAAAGCTTGGTCAGTTCTGCTCAAGTCCCATCTCTCACACAAACTGATGGGTCCTGGGGCCCAGCCCAGACAACTCACCTCATACCTGGTCCTCATACATACCAGCAGGAGTCATGACCTAGTTGGGGCAACCCCCAATATCTCCCATTAGGCCCACACTCAGTCCCAGTTTTTGCATGTGCCAGCCTCTGCTAGAGCCTAGTCTGGTCCAGCCCATATCCAACCTGGCTCTCATGCACACCCATGTGTGCTGCAGCTTAGTTTAGCCCGATCTGCCCCAGATCCAGCCCCTACACATACTGGCAGGCTCTGCCACCTTCTCCATGCTGGCCCATCTCCAGCCCTGGTTCTTATGCTCACCAGCTGTAGGTACAGCCCAGCAGGGGTGTGCCAACAGTTCTCCTGCCAGGCATGTTCCCAGTCCTGGATCTTTGCACCCTCCAGGGGTTATTGCATTCCAATCTGACATGACTTGTACCTGGTCCTGACACTTGCCAGCTGATGCTATGGCTTAATTTGGCTGGCCCACAATCATTCTGGCTCTTATGCACAGCAGCAGAGAACACAGAGAGAAAGGTCTTCCATTCATCGGCTCACTGCCCAAATGGTTGCAGTGGCCAGAGCTGATCTGATCCAAAGAGCAGGTTTTCAGGAAACCCATGTGATTCCTACTGCATGGCCTTGGGGTTCCCAGTGTAGGCCAATTGATGTAGCTATCTTAGAAGGGCTTTCTGTTGGTTGGCATGATGGTTTAACTTATTAATCATCAACTTGCATAGGCCAGCATCTTTTAATGGGTGCTGATTCGTGTCATGATTGCTCCACTTCTCATCCAGTTCCCTGCATAGGCTGGGAAAGCAGTGGAGGATGACCCAAAACCTTGGGTCCCTGCATTCCTGTAGGAGACCCAGAAGAAGCTCCTGGCTTCAGATCAACTCAGCTGTGGCCATTATGGTCATTTAGGGATGAATCAGCAAATGGAAGATCTCTATCTCCCCTTTTCTCTGTAGATCTCCCTGTCCAATTAAAAAAAAATGTATATATTTTAAAGAAGTTCTTTCTGAAGGCAACCAATTCCAAACAAGACTCTTTTTTTTCTTTTAACCAATAGCATCAGTTCATTGATTCAACTGCCTGGCAAATGTAGGTGGTGACATATATATGACATCTGAAGATTATTTCTAGTGTATGGGCGATCTCTATTTCTGTCCCACTGACTTTCAACATCAACAACAACAAACTTATGACTTTTCCCCCTTAAGGGAAAATGGATATGGGTTGAGATTGTGTTGAAAATTTATGAAATGGGTACAGTTAAGGAATGTTCCTAAAAAAGAAAATTTGGAGGAAAAAAAAATAAAAAACCTCCAACAAGGTAGGTTCAGCAGTTACCCCATAGCAGCTTTCCATTTTGCCTGGATGTCATAATATATTAAGACGGATGTTGAGGTATCCATGGTGGTAGCATAGCCACTGGGCTCTTGTACATCTGCGTGGTTGAAGGAAAACAAACACCATGCTCAGACCTGCAGAATTCACAAGCACTTTCGACAGAAGGAGGTGTGCCCCTTACACCATTTCCAGGGATGGTGAAGATGCTGTGCAAAGCCATCAGCACACTGCAGCAAATCTGTTAATATACATGCTTATCATTGGAGTTTGTGACGCTTTAACATGGAACAATGCATTAAATTTTTTTTCTGTAAAGTGGACAGCGAATGACACAAATTTAGACTATAACTGATAATGATGTTGCTTTTGTCCACTTATCAACAAGTAGGGAGAATGAATGGGTTGCCTTCTCCAGCTCTTACATTTCAACACTCCGCCTGCCCTGCTCAACTCCCCTTCCTCTTCACTGCTCAAACATTCAGAAGGCCTCTCCACATGTGCTTGTCTCCACATCTCTGAGATGTCACTTTGGCTGATGTGAGCTTCAATACAATCCTAGTGTTGTCCATCCCGACTTCCTCTGTAAGAACTGAAGAACTGTTGTGGTTATTACACAGTGGTCCATTACGGTAGCAGTAAAGAAGAAAAGTGGGGAAATAAAAATGAATTTTATATTTAAGACAGTATCCTTGGAACTGCCACATCTTCCATCTGTTGGTTCACTCCCCAAGTGGGAGCAGTTCGAAGCCAACAGCCAGGAGCTTCTTCCAGGTCTCCCACATGGGTACAGGATCCCAAAGCTTTGGACCTTGACTGCTTTTCCAGGCCACAAGCAGGGAGCTGGATGGGAAGCAGGGCCACTGGGACATGAACCTGTGCCCATATGGGATTCTGGCATGTGCAAAGCCAGGACTTTAGCCACTAGGCTATTGTGCTGGACCCTGAAAGCTGTATGTTTTTAACCAGTAGCCGCTTTACACTATAGTATTTGAAATTTATCCTAAACTAACAAATGTGAGATAATTGACAGTATGTTAAAAATTTTTGCTTCCATGAGACCAGAGTTTAAATGAGTTGAGACAGTTTGTAACAAATCTTAGGTGGATTATATCAACTATTTAGAAATTCAGAACCATCAAACTAATGTTTTCTATAGGACTAGAAAAGCTTTGTTGAATTTTAAGAGACAGAATAGGCACTCTGATCATTAGCACATTCCTCTCGAGCGGCGTTTGGGGACAGCAAGAGCCAAGTGGGACACTGTCAGCAAATGGTGACACATGAGCACCCTGCTTCTGGACCTGGAAAGCTGGTCCTGTGCCAACTGGTAGAAAACAAACACGACTCACTTTGGGAAAAACCAGTTTTTGGGAGTTGGCTCTGGTCAAAAACAGCGCTCTTTTAATGCTACAGCATTAAAAGAGAGATCTCTCTCTATGGAGAGATTTTATTTTCGTTCAGAAATGAAAGTGTAGACATGTATTTCTGGACTAATTGTAAGTAAAGGACAGTATCCAAGCCAGCCTGTTCTCTCTCTTGCTTAACCAAATCCTTCTTCTGTGGCCCATGATGACCTTGAATAATTATTATGGTGAAGTATTTTAAACTAGTTGTTTAACTCTATGTGTACATTTTAAATCTGAGATTTATTACTTTCAGAATTCTGTGTATATTTTGTGTCCCAGAAGATATATTATCATATTAATATTATGTTACTTAACATAACTTCCATGTTCAGGCATTATCCTTAATTAATAAGTATAATTATTCATATCTTTTAAAATTGTTCATATTTTTACAGATGATGAAATGATTCTTCAGTAGCAAATCAAATGTTCTCCATGCAAT